CCCGCCCCAGCTGTTCTTCTATCTGGAGCTCTCTTACCCAGGATTCTGGCCTGGGCTGCCTCCTCCTTTCCTTCCAGGGCTCAGTTGATGAGGAACCTGCTCAGATGGCAACCACTGGGTCATTCCTGCCCCTATCACACAGCACGTACTGCCAACTGCATTTATGAAGTTCTGGCATTCTTTCTCATTCTCCCTTCTCTCGTGTGTATTAAATTGTGTGTCAGTCAGTCTGTTTCCCTCTGTCCTTAATCCTGACCCAAGTATATGAACTCCCATGGTAGCAAGGATCTTTTCTCTCTCGTGTACTGTATGCTTGGCAGATAGCATGTGGCCAGTAAGGAGTTGTTAATGGCCTGAATGAGTCCAAAGTCCGTGTATGCACATCACCACCCCTCCCCACTGCCCACGGAAGCTTGCTTTTGCTTTGACTTAAATTTGATACAACTCAGCAAATTGTAAATCGAGGTAATGACTCAATGAACAGGAAGCCCGTGCTCAGAGTAGACAGGTTATGTGAATTTTGACAGGTGATGTGAGTTGCCTGACCTTACGGCTTGGTTTCTTTAAAACAGGGAAGGTTGAGGTAGCACAATGGCTGTTGTCATGGACTCCTTCCTGAGACATTGCTCACCACCAGCATTATCAAATAAAAACTATTACAGTAAGTGATGAGCTCTGAGATGGTCCATTATGAGGTGTTTTCTGGAGAGAGGTCTGAAAAGCCAGAAAAAAACAATGACTCAGCCAGCATGACCTCGGATACTGAGGGCTGTTTTGGAGTACGGCTTTCCCAGCCAATGGTGACGTCACTTGAGGGTACACGACGCTCGTGGGTCCTGAGAGTCCCATCCATTCGGGAGACAAGACTCTCCAAAGGATTGTGACATCAAATCTTTGGGAGATCTGGGGGGCTTCTCTAGATCTGCCTAACTTAACCAAATCTGATAGCTCAGGACTTACTCTACTCCAAAGTAGACTTTCAGTGTCAGCAGGAATAAGAGAATCAGAGCCTGGCCAGGCACTTCCTGTCGAGAGCCTTTGGGGTCCAGGTGGGAGCTCTGCATGGCCGGGGAGCATCCTGGTGTCTTGGCAACGATTCTCTCCCAGTAGGAACTATCTCTAGGGTCCGAGGCTGGGTGTGTTGACAGTGACTGCCTAATAGCTGCTAAATGGTGACTTGCCTCGTCATTGTTCTCTCGAGGTCCAACTTACTACTTTGCAGAGCACTTTGGAACAAATAGGATCTAATTCTGTTCCAGGACAGCAGTGAGTGACTGATGAATATTTCAGGCTGTAATTTTCCTTGTTTTGTGGGGACTTGCATGTATCACTCTTCTGTGCTCCTGTGGAAGTATATTCAGGGCAGGTACTTCCCAGCTGAACATCTGCGTCTCTGTATATTTGACTCTCCACAAATATTCTTTTGTCATTACAATCTTCAAAGAAGTCGGTCAGCATTAACCAGATAGCAGTGTTGGCAGATGCCTCTTAGAGTCTTAAGAACAAACCTGGGGGAGGCCGAGTAGCTCCTCTTTGGTGTCAGATCGGAAAGCCTCTCCCAGCAGTGGTCCAGCCCCGCTCTGCCCGCCTTGCATTTCTCATTCTCTGACAGAAGGCTTGCGAAATTGTCTGCATCAGCGTGAATCCCAGCCCTTGTTACGGTATCATCCTCAAGCCTCAGCTTTTTTATTCACAGTGATGAGGGCATCGCCCCACTTGGGAACCATTGGTATATATTTTGCATAAGGAGCCTCGTATTTTATTAATTAGCTCATCAGAAAAAAAATGTGCTTTGGTGACTGATTCTTTGGGAGGAAATTCAGTGTCTCAGTAGAGATCATTACAGGAGCTTAATACAATTACGGATGTTAGATGGAATGACATTTGACATTATGGCGTGAGAGGTTCTTTCTAAATGAGATGTGACTGAGGCAGATGGTAAACCGAGGGCGATCTTTGTTTCATTCTTTTTCCCCCCTTCAAACAGAAATGCAGGTCCGAGAGGGAAGCGTGAGATAAGAAACCTTGAGGCTTGCAGCTGTCTCCTCAGGGGCAGACCCAAGGGCACAGTTTACTAAGTTCTCTTGTTAAGACTGTGACTTAGTGGTGCAAAAAGGAGTTAGGGGATGCCTGGGTGGCTCAGTGGGTTAAGCATCTGCCTTCGGCTCAGGTCATGATCCCGGGGTCGTGGGATCGAGCGCCGTGTAGGGCTCCCTGCACAGCGGGAAGCCTGCTTCTCCCTCTCCCTCTGCAGCTCCCCCTGCTTGTGTGCACGTGCTCTCTCTCTCTCTCTCAAATAAATAAATAAATAAAAATCTTAAAAAGAAAATTAGTTAGAAACTATGTTTTCCTCTCTTTTTTTTTTTAAGATTTTATTTATTTGAGAGAGAGAGCACATGAGAGGGGGGAGGGTCAGAGGGAGAAGCAGACTCCCTGCTGAGCAGGGAACCTGATGCGGGACTCTATCCCGGGACTCCGGGATCATGACCCGAGCTGAAGGCAGTCGCTTAACCAACTGAGCCACTCAGGCGCCCTATATTTTCCTCTCTTAAGATGTCCAGGGGACCTAGGGAAATATCTCAAAGCAAAGCTATATAGCACAAAAGGGTTCAACTAGAAATTAGCCCCATCTCAGTTGATAGGCTCAAACAAACAAGCAAATAAGCTTGTACATCAACAAAGAGAAAGTGACCCAGCTCCATGAAAGGTATATCATTCTTTCAAAGTTCTCCCTTCATTCAAAAGACACCTCACAAATACTTTCCTTGAATTTTTGCTGGTCCGTCCTATTCACTGAAACCTTCACTTCATCTCTTGCCAGACATTTAGGTCTTCCCTTGTTCACTTTTCCTGAGGTTTAGGACACAGGGCTAAAGTTTTGCTATGGATAAAGGCTGACCAAAGACCAGAGCAAAGAACGATAACAAATTCAAGAAGTATCCCAGAGATGCTGTGGTCCAGTGGCTTTGATTTAAAACCAGACTGTAATTGGCTTCCTTCACGATCTTGGGAAAAATCATCTAAACTTGCTGTCTTCAGTATTAACTTTTGTCTGTCGTTGCACCTGCTCTGATGACCGGGGACTCCTGCCCAGGAGCTGCGAATCCCCCTTCCCCCTCTCCCACACAGTGCCCACCACAAGGGCCTGCAAGTGCTAGGGGGCGGAGAATGTCATTCTTAAAGGCAGGTGTTATTCTGGGCTCCAGGCATTTGCTTCACTTTATTTCGTAGCATTAGTAAGGATAAGATAATTTCTCTAAATAGGTAGGTCTAGCTGAGGACACTAGATTTGGAAAACTCTTGGCAATTTTGGTTATTCTGCCTACATTTTATTTATTTGTTTAAAAGATTTTGTTTGAGAGAGAGAGGGAGAGAGCGCGCACAGGAGCATGCACAAGCAGGGGGGAGGGGCAGAGGCAGAGGGAGAAGTAGCCTCCCCACTGAGCAGGGAGCCCGATGCGGGGCTCTGCTTAACCGACTGAGGCACCCAGGTGCCCCTCTGATCACAGGTTACACTCCTGTGACCCAGCATCTCCTATCCACATATTTAGAACTCCCCTAGAGATGTCCATTACAGATATAGGGGGAGAAACCAAGATACGTCTTGGTAGAGAAAGTCACGTGCTGCACGCTGGTAGAGAGCCCCGTCTCCTCGCTGGACCTTTCTCGTTTGCGTGTACCTTTGACCATCTGGAAAGTGAAGTTTATGTGTTCCACTTGCCTTGGAAGGAGCTCTTGAGGGTCACAGAGCAGAGGCTGAGCTGTTCTGACCCAAGTGCTGTAGTCTCGGGGATTTCTTCTCTGCGAAGCTTTCTTTGGGACCTGCTGCGCACTGAGAAGGACATTATTAGTTATCCCTTAGACAGCAGCTCCTATGGGGACTCTCTGCCGTAGCTTCCAGCCCAGTTCCCTCCCGGGTCCCCAGGGGCTGTGGAGAATGGCTTTGCCCAGACCCCACCTTGGACCCCTCGATTTATCTCCTAAGGGTCTGGTTTTCTTGCTGAACTCTCTGGAACAAGCTGACACCATTGTCAGCCGCAAGACCATTGTTTCAACAAGACCGGCAGTAGGGTGTGCGTAGACTGAAGACTTTTGTGAAAAGTTGTCTTTGAAGTAAATACCATAAAACCTTTTTTCATGCCCCAGGAGCGTGAGACAGGGTCCTCTTCCATGTGTGTGGCCAAACCACACTCAAGGACTTTTCCTCCCAGCTCAGAAACCCGCCATGTGGAAGAGGTGGCCTGCAGAAGGGGGCTGCCGCAGACTCGGGGTGAAGATGCTATGGCAACACCCAGAACCGGTTCTGGAAGCCGCGGATCAGTGTGAGTTCTGTGGTCCGGGAAGGTGTTCTCAGCGTAATGATTTTCTGGATACCCCAAGAGACTGAGGGAGGAAGGGCTCGTGACCAGCTACCTTTGCCGTCCTGTGCAGACAGGGTCCGTTCCCCGCTCCTGGTGTTCTAAGTGAATGTGCAGCATTCATTCACGGGCAGCGTCTACTGAGCTAATGTTAGCATGAGCGGTAAAACGGCTTCAAATAATCAACATCCCGACCTTAGAGATTAGGTAGGAACTAGATGGAGCTCCCCCTACATCAAAAGCATTTCAGAGTTTCAGAGGCCAAGTCACTAGACATAGGGTAAAGATGGCCAACTAGACTGTGGGTTAAATGATCAAGTCACCAATTCACTCCCGTGGTCTTTCTTTTTTCACTTTTAGAATGTTTGGGGTGCTGGGAAGACGGGTCCAATCTCCCGCTATCCACTTGTTCATGTTAATGTTGACGGTTCTCTTTCTCCAGCTCGCCCCTCCGGATGCAGCTGTGCAGGATCTAAGACCTGGGAAAAGGACTGCTCCTGACATCCCACTGGAGAGCTGAATTTGCAGCTGGGATCTATTAGTTGCATTTCTAAGCTTGAGAGCTCATTTTCCCTTTACCTTGAAGGTAAAACGTGCCTAATAATCCACTGAGTGATCTTCTTATCTGCAGTTTAGATGCCTGAGGCTATCTGGGAACATTCGCAAAGGCTGCCCTGTTGCTTGGAACAGGGGTCTGGCCGGCTCTACAGCTAAATATTCCTTCTCCCTCCCGTTTTTTACAGACCATATTTCCCAATTCCAGTTTTAAAACATGGAGTGGGTTAATCCCAGCATCAGTCCGAGACTGATGTTTGTTAAAAAGACCCTCTCATTTAGCCACTGATTTTAGAGGGACTTAAAAAGGGAAGGTCTTTACTAGTATTTTAAGTTGAATAAAAACAGACGCGCCAGAGGGAGATTTGCCAACCGTATAAATACATAGGTGTTAAGCCCCCCTGTACATAAACCAAATATAAATGGAAAGACAATGAGTAAACGGCACATATAAATGGACAAAACCCCAGTGGATAAGCCATAAAGATCTGACGGCAAGGCCCATATGTCTTTAAAATTCGCAGCTTTTCTACTCAAGTAATGTGTGATTTGTCCCAGGTTTACAGTTCATTCATCCCACTCAACGTCCGCCTTGGCACCGTTCAGTTTGTCTGCTGTCTACACGTTGGGGCTTTTGGCAAATGCAGACGCTCTTGACAAGAACAGCTTTTGAGTGTTATTCAGACCCCTGATGGGCCTCAGATAGTATAAAACAAGGATTTGTGGCTCTTCAGGGATGTAGCACTGTTTGAAGCAAAATATCTTCTCACTTCTTTTGCAGTACTTACATGTGGGGAGCTAATCCCAGAGCCGGGAGAGGAGGAGGGACCTGCACAGAAGCCATTTTCCCAGAGGTTTGGGGGAAGGTGAGCTAACTTTATAGAACTGATGAATGGTCTCTATCATCTTGAGCACATCCTCAGCTGTGTCTTCCCGATGTCCTCTAGTCTCAGAGAAACACAAGTTAGGAATGTTATACACCCCGCCCGCCTTTTTTTTTTTTTTTTTTTTTGCAGGATCAAATGATGCGACGCGTGAAAAGTATGCTAAAACTGTAAATCGCCGTGCGGGATTCTCGTTTTTGGAGGAAAGAGAGGCTCTCTGTAGGAACTGACTAGGGAAGCCACTATTTCAGCTTGACTGCCAACTGGAGAGCGCTTAGGTCCTGAGAAGACGTGGTTCCATAGCCCCGAGCAAATCTTGAATTTTCACTCAAGGGTCTAGTCCCATAATGCTCACGTTCATGCAGTTTTCGTCAGTGCGGATGCCACTGTCAATCCACGCTGTGATCTCCGGCGCTATACGTCCCCATCCTGTCTTGGGCGGTGATACTGCTTTGAATGGTGCTCACACCTCCTCCGCTGATCCTTTGACTTCTTCGGCGTGCCAGGACCGAGCGTGACAAGGGTGTTACTGGTTTGCACGGAGGGGCTGGGAGCCCAGCAGGGGGCTGAGATCAGAGAGGCCAGTGGCACCTCCCCGGACATCTGGCCTTGCTGTGAGGGATTGCCAGACAAGCCTTCTGAAGCGGGAGGTATTCACAAGAAGAAGGTGGAATATCCTGCCCCCGCAGGGACAGGCAGTGGGCCCCCCCGGCAGCATCTCTTACGGAAGGGTCAGGAGGCAGGGCGCTTTACCTTGCTTGGAATTATTCAAGAGGCTGCACAGCTTTGCAGAGCAACAGAAGGCTTGTTGACAGGGCTTAGAGGGTTCCGGAAGAAGGGACTATTCTCTGGGACCGCCACACACACACAGTCATTAACCCCCTGCGGGAAAGTGTGACATTACGCTGTATTGGAGGCTGGGTTCACTTGTGTGGCCCTATTGAGGCCATCCTCCCCCACGCTGGCCAGGAAAGAACCAAGCTTTTCCCTCAGTCCATATCATTAGCGAGCTGGGGGGCCCTGCGTTGCCACATCACCCAGACAGTTGAGGTCCCAGCGGTTTCTGCACTACGCTGCAGGGGGTGGGGGTGGCGCCTCCGCGGAGGTGAGCGCTTCTCCCCTGGAGCTAAGGTTTGGGAGGAAAGGCTTGCCCCTCCCAACCCCTCCACTCTCCCTCCCCGACAGAGGAAGGAAGACCACACTTCTCTGGGGAGGAGCTCTCCTATTCAGGAGGGTCAGTTTTTTCCTAGTACAAAGAAATGAGGTGAGTCTTCCCCACGTTCCTTGGGCCATCCTAACGATCTAACTCTGGATGAGTCACAGCCTCTGAGTCACGCTCTAAGGACTCAATAGACAGTTCCTAGGGGAAGGTGTCAGTGGAACAGCCAGAAGGCAGATCTTGTGCCTTGGGTTAGCTGGGTAAATATCCAGTATTAAGGAAAGGCAAGGACTTATTTAGGTGCTAGTTCGGTGCTTTTTCTTTTTCTTTCTTTCTTTCTCTCTCTCTTTTTTTTTTTTTGGTAGAGCAAGACCCAACAGTGAGCCTCTTTATCATTCCCGAGGCCTAGTTTCTCTCCTTGTGAAGTGGAATGGATAATGCCTACCTGATGGGAAAAACTGGAAACAAGCAATAGGGAAGGAGTTATATATAAATTGGGGCAAGTCTCTAGGATGGATGGTGTACTGGGCACGCTTTGAAAACAAAGACGTAGGGGCGCCTGGGTGGCTCAGTTGCTTAAGCATCTGCCTTTGCCTCAGGTCATGATCCCAGGGTCCTGGGATCGAGCCCCGCATCGGGCTTCCTGCTTGGCAGGGAGCCTGCTTCTCTCTCTCCCGCTCCCCCTGCTTGTGCTCTCTCTCTCGCTGTGTCTCTCTCTCACTGTCAAATAAATAAATAGATCTTAAAAAAAGAAAAAAGAAAAAACAAAGATGTAGGTGCTGACGTGGAAAGTTGTTGAAAAATATTAAGTGGATAAGGACAAGCTGTAGCGTGATGCGTATCTGAGGGTTTGTGTGTATGTGTGTGTACAAAGTTAACGAATTTTGCATAGGGTGGTGTATATCCTAGAATGCGCCTCACCGGGAGGGGAAAGAGGAATCCTATGGATCAGTGGCAAGCTGGCTTGGAGGAGAGAGATGGAGAGTTAGGCTCCAGGAGGAAGGTGTGCACTTTCTATTTATATATTTATATTTTCTCTGTTTGAGTTTTTTGTCCAGGTCCGTGTAGCCCTCGTTTTCAAAATGACAACAGTTTATTTGCATAGTAAGATGAGGGCTCTTCCTTTTCCTGTTCTTCTGGATCAAAAAAATGAAAACCTTTGATATTGGTGTGGGATTTAAATTAAGTAATGTGTGTCAAGTGCCCACAGCACAGAAGAGGCTTGGTTAATGTTGGTACAGATAACACAGAGGGAAGAGCTGAGTGTTCTTTCTACTGACCGTTTCTTTCTTTCTTTTTTTTTTTTTTAGATAGTAATGATGCCTATCTATTAGATACCATATATTGTTTTTGTCGCTATTTTTTAGGCACTGTGTACCATCTATTTCTCTGTCACTTCTGGTTCGCAGACGTCACTGTCCTAGAGGTGGTGAAGGATCGCTGGATTCGGGGGTAAGACCAGGTTTGCCGACAAATAATGTGATTTGGGACTTGGGGTCGCTTACTTGTTCTAGATGACGTCCAAGGTCCTGCTAAGGTTGAAATGCACATATCCGCTCGCTGGTGAGGTTGAGGGAGCTGGAAAGGGAGAGTGGGGAGTGGTCTGTGTCAGAGAGTTCAAAGACCAGACAGAGGAGAAATGTCACGGAGAGAAGCTGGAGGTTAGGGAACAGTTTCCTGAAACAGGCCCAATTTGTTACAAGCCCCCACAGCCACTCGCTTGCTCCTTCTGCTTCTCAGGCAAGAATTGTACACCATGTCTGCCGGTGAATCCATAGCAGAGCTCTTTTCGCTATTCTAAAAGGCTGCAAAGGTAAGTTTTCTATTTCTTTGGGTTGGATTTTGTTGGCAGTTTCTTCTTTCTGGTGATTTGTTTTAAATCTAAAAGGGAAGGTCAATGCTTTGGGCTGCGTATTTACTTAACTCCATTTCTCATTTGTTGGAATGTGTAGTGTCAATTTTCTTAGCCAGAGCAGATCCTAGTAGGAAACAGATCTGTACGGCGGAGACCTCCCCTGTCATGTGTGGGTGGGTGGGTAAGTATCTAATGCACTTAAAATTCAGTAAATAGAGGATACAGAGCACCGTGGATCTGTCACCCACCGCCCCTTTCCAAGGGAATGCCCAGCCCGCATTTTTCTCTTCAGCCGCCCCTCGATAAAAGCTGGCCTGCTTTTATCAAGCTCCTGATGTCCTGTGGGGATTATGTCCTTCCTTCCTGTCTGGGCATTGTTGTGACGGCCAGGTGAGCTTGTGTGGGGGACTGCTGGAACCAGGAGAGACTTTGTTCCCCTCTCTGAGCCTGGCTTCCCCTGGAGCAGGCTTGTGTAACAGCGAGCAGTGAGCTGGGGGGCTTGTGAGCTGTTGCCATGGTCACTCCCCAGCGTGCCCAAGGCCGAGTCCCCACGTCTGCTTCGAGTCTTTATTAGAGACAGAACAACACGGGACTACAGGCCTCAGCTCACTTGGTAAGGATGGTGGCCTGGCCTTGTCCCTTCATGTTGTTTTGCCCCGTGAGTGGAATGGAGCTGATCTGTGGCCAACAGCCCACGTTTTCCTTTTTTTTTTAATTAAAAGATTTTGTTTATTTATTTGAGAGAGAGAATGAGATAGAGAGAGAGAGCATGAGAAGGGGGAGGGTCAGAGGGAGAAGCAGACTCCCCGCCGAGCAGGGAGCCCGATGCGGGACTCGATCCCAGGACCCTGGGATCATGACCTGAGCCGAAGGCAGTCGCTTAACCGACTGAGCCACCCAGGCGCCCCAGCCCACGTTTTCCTAATGCCAAGACAGACGCACCAACCCTCCAAACACCATCGATGGGATCCACAAGCAAAACAACGCGAAAGGAAAACAGTGACAGTTCTGTTTCACAGCAAAAACAGTAATTTGAACAAACCACTGACATGATTTTTACATACTTGTACTCATATTATGGCCAGAAGTTTTGCATTTTTTTTTTTTCCACATAATACGGCTTTGGGAACATTTTTTCCATGTTACTTTGTGGCCTTCGTAATTAGCTCCATTACCGTGTAAAGGAAAATAAACACGGTTGTCTTGAGGCCCCCCAGAGACTAGCATCCACGACATAGGACAGGACAGTAACTGGATCATATAAACTGTCTCTAATTCTGATTAGAGATCGTAATTCAGTCATGGGGGTTTGCCACTGCCTATGAGGAAGTCCCAGACTTTCTTTTCTTTTCCTTCGAAGCACATCCATGGACTTCTTGACTTATCTCTCCCGCAGCATATTCTTGAATTGGGCTGTTGCTTATCTTCTCAGTTCAGCCAGGGACGTCTTCTTCATCAGGAGGAAGTAACCTCCGACCTCACGTCTCACTAGGCACCTGATGAGGGGCCTCAGCTAGGATTTCTCAAGGCCCAAAGTCATTTTGAGAACTCCCCTAAGACAAAAGGGAGCCCACTTACTTATTTTTTATTTTTTTCCCTTAAAGGGTTGTGATAAATAATGCAGAAGGCAGAAAACGTACCCAGAATTCAGGCCGATGAACAGTGTGCTTCCTGAACGTAGGAGATGTCACTGACCTTGATTCTCGTTCCTTGTGGAGGGGTCAGGAGGAAGAGATGTTGCCGACGGTGGCCGGGCGGCAGGGGACTCTCTGTCTCCAGGCCCAGAGCTCTGATTCCGCAGCCGCAGTCGACTGGCTTTGACGGTGTGAGGTCTCGGGCCCGCAGGGGAGAGCCGGGCATCTGGCTGGAAGCTGTGCAGTGAGGGCAGAATTCCCACAGCCGGCCCTGGGTTCCTAAGGGTTTCCGCCCTCCCCTGCGGGACGTTCCCACCGGCTCTCCTGATCCCAGAGGCACTGCCTGCCAGAGGGAGGACCCTCCTTAGCGCCCACGGGCACGGCAGTGCCATCTGTCTGTGTGGCACCTGTTACCCACACACAGCGGGGCTGTCACCGCTTGCAGCCCACCTGCCGCCGAGAGAGGGGGGGTCTCTGGGCATGGCCTTGGACACGGGCGAGAGCTCCGATTGCCAAGGGGGGGGGGTCCTGTGCATCACCCGGGGGGGAAGCAGTC